GGACCCTATGTCTAAAATAACTTCAACTAGGGAGTGGAGACCCTATTCTGGAAAAACGACTAGGGAGTAGAGACCCTATGTCTAAAACAAAATCAACTAGGGAGTGGAGACCCTATGTCTAAAATAATTTCAACTAGGGAGTGGAGACCATATGTTGGAAAAGTGACTAGGGAGTGGAGACGCTATGTCTAAAATAACTTCAACCAGGGAGTGGAGACCCTATATCTAAAATAACTTCAACTAGGGAGTGGAGACCCTATGTTGGAAAAGCAGACTAGGGAATGGAGACCCTATGTATAAAATAAATTAAACTAGGGAATGGAGACCCTATGTTGGAAAAGTGACTAGTGAGTGGAGACCCTATGTCTTAAATAACTTCAACTAGGGAGTGGAGACCCTATGTTGGCAAAGCGACTAAGGATTCGAGACCCTATGTCTTAAAAACTTCAACTAGGGAGTGGAGACCTTATGTTGGAAAAGTGACTAGGGAGTGGAGACCCTATGTCTAAAATAAATTCAACTAGGGAATGGAGACCCTATGTTGGCAAAGCGACTAGGGAGTGGAGACCCTATGTCTAAAATAAATTCAATTAAGGAGTGGAGACCCTGTGTTGGAAAAGTGACTAGGGAGTGGAGACCATATGTTGGAAAAGTGACTAGGGAGTGGAGACGCTATGCCTAAAATAACTTCAACCAGGGAGTGGAGACCCTATGTTGGAAAAGTGACAAGGGAGTGGAGACCATATAGCTAAAATAAATTCAACAAGGAAGTGGAGACCTTATGTTGGAAAAGCATACTAAGGAGTGGAGACCCTATGTCTAAAATAAATTAAACTAGGGAGTGGAGGCCCTATGTTGGAAAAGTGACTAGGGAGTGAAGATCCTATGTCTTAAATAACTTCAACTAGGGAGTGGAGACCCTATGTTGGCAAAGCGACTAAGGATTCGAGACCCTATGTCTAAAAATATTCAACTAGGGAGTGGAGACCCTATGTCTAAAATAAATTAAACTAGGGAGTGGAGACCCTATGTTGGAAAAGTGACTAGGGAGTGGAGACCCTATGTCTAAAATAAATTTAACTAGCGAGTGGAGACCCTATGTTGGCAAAGCGACTTAGGAGTAGAGACCCTATGTCTAAAATAAATTCAATTAAGGAGTGGAGACCCTATGTTGAAAAAGTGACTACGGGGTGGAGACCCTATGTCTAAAATAAATTCAACAAGGGAGTTGAGACCCTATGTTGAAAAAGCAGACTAGGGAATGGAGACCCTATGTCTAAAACAAAATCAACTAGGGAGTGGAGACCCTATGTTGAAAAAGCAGACTAGGGAATGGAGACCCTATGTCTAAAACAAAATCAACTAGGGAGTGGAGACCCTATTTGGAAATGCGACTAGGGAGTGGAGACCGTATATCTAAAATAAATTTAATTACGGAGTGGAGACCCGATGTTGGAAAAGCAGACTAGGGAATGGAGATCCTTTGTCTAAAGCAAAATCAACTAGGGAGTGGAGACCCTATGTTGGAAACGCGACTAGGGAGTGGAGACCCTATGTCTAAAATAAATTAAGCTAGAGAGTGGAGACCCTATGGTGGAAAAGCAAACTAGGGAGTGGAGACCCATGTCTAAAATAAAATAAACAAGGGAGTGGAGACCCTATGTTGGAAAAAATGTAACTCAAGATTGGGGACCCTAGGCTACCATGTTTTTGTTTTTGATTTTTTTTTTCATTATTAATTAATTCATGGAATGAGTGAATGCGGGAAAGAAATTTGGAGGGGACTTCCCTTTTTAATTGATTACTGCTGCAAAACTGTTTCTAGCCCTTGCGTTGTTTCTTTTGGTTGCCCCTGCTTCTTGCAAGGTTGCTTTGGATTGCACATGTTTCATGTTTTAAAACAAAGAAAAATTGTTAGTTTGAAACGGTTGTTGGCTTTGTTGCCTTGATTGTTTTGATCACTTCATCTCGGCCCGACTCTTTGATGAAGATTCCAACTACAACTGCTCGTTCCCTGAGGACCAATTTCATTTCTGACCCTGGAGAACATCTAGCTTTTCCAAACTTTGCCATAACAATTGGTCACGTGGAACTCAACCTTTTCGAATTTATTTTGCCTTTGTAGGCCTTTCACTTCTGACTCTTTTTTTAGTTTTTTTCGGAGCATTCTGGAAATTTTGGCTCCTCAAACTTACTGCAACAGCTAGTCGTGTGGGACTTAATCTTTTCCAACTTTATTTCGCCTTCGTAGGCCTTTGTTTTTTGGCTTCTCTGTTCCAACTTCAATTTCAGAGCATTTGGGGTACCTTGGCTTTTTCAAATGTTTGCCAAGACGGTTAGCTACGTGGGACTCAACCTTTTCAACTTCCAAGAGTTTTCAAATTCAAAACATCAGCCATTATTTGCTGGGTGCCTTATTGCACATTAGCTCGTGTCAAATGAGAACCCTGTAAATCAGTCTTGCCATCCCTTCTTTGTCTCAGTTTTAGAAACAGAGTTAGACCGAAAGGGATTCAAAGAAAAACAAGCAATGGAATGGAATGGAGAATGAGTTGAAACAAGATGTGTCCCTTTCGAGGAAAGGAAGGAAGGACTTATCTGGAGAACATGCGGACTTCAATGAACATGACATGCCTTTTGGACTAGATTCCTGATCTGTGTAAATTGTCCGACTCTTGGAAATTCATCAAAACTTTTCCTTGAAGTCGAGGAACCTTGCCAGGACTCTGTTAATGCCGATGGCTGTAAGGATCCTCTTTTCGATCAACCGCCCCTTTTGCGGGTTTTCGCCAATTGACCTCTCTCATTTCTCTTCTTACCGTCGCCTTATAGTGCTCTTTGCGGGTTTTTACTAATAAGACTCTCTCATTTTCAATTTCTCTGCTTACCATCGTCATACGGTGCCCGTGTGGGTTTTCACCAATAAGACTCTCTAATTTTATTTCTCTCATTTTGTTACATCAGATCCAAGTAACTGTATCCTCCCATTTTGAACCTCTTTGTCGATTGATCAGAAGGACTTGAACAAGGTTTTGGGGTAAAAAGTTTGGATTGAATTACAACTTTGGAACCTTTTGGCGAAACCATCGCCGAACCATTATAACATCTACCCCAGTTTCACTTTTGGGGTTGATTTTTTATTTTGGTGTGACTGTAGCCTAGTGAGAGGTTACCTACGTATCCTTTCGGAATCAAGTCGAACGTAGTTCAGGGAACTTTGTTTTTTATTTTCTTTTGTTTTTTTTTGTTTTCTTTTCTCTTTCTTTTTCCTTTCCTTTTCCACTTCTCTCTTTTTTTCCTTTTCTTTAATCTTTTTTTTCTTCTCCTTTTTCATCCCTTTTTTTATTTCATTTTTTTTCAAACAATATTTTTTTTCCAATTGTACTTTCTGGTTCTAAAGAGGGTAATCAAAGAAAAGTAACCAGCTCAAAGGGTTTGGAAGGGGTTGATCGTGTTTGGTTAGCGAGAATGAAATCCTTCTTCATCCCAATCGGAGAACATTAATGCTATATAGAGGATCCAATATAGTACCTTTATCTGCATTTGCATTGACGCTTGTTTCAGAGACATTTCCTTCAATGTATCCCAAGTACAACGCACTCTTTTGGTAGTACTCTTGTTACCATGTACGGACCCTTCCAAATTGAAGCCAATTTTCCTTCAACTATTCCAACTCTTTGTTTTATTTCCTCAGACTTAATCTCCATTGCAATCTAATTCTTTATTCATTATTTCGAGATCTGACAGCGTTTCAGGATCTGGGCATGAAGTCCACAAGCATGTCATGTTATTGAAATATACATTTAACATAACTAAAAAGAGAATAAGAAAAATGACAAGATTAAGAAAAGAGATATTCCTTGATAATAAAATATAAATTTCATTTGATATTTTGATTTTTAATTATTTTTTCAATTTGTTTTTTTTTTAAAAAAATAGAAGGGTTTACATCAGAAAGTAAGACAATAAAGTAAAACATCTGGATCACATCCTGAGATAATTCGGACGCAGAAAGGATAGCAAGAGTGGCTACTAAGACTCCCCTCTGATGGGGATCTTCATGCTTAGCGACCATTTTCTGGCTTTTCTTCTGTCTCGGCAATGGCTGCAATGACCTTCAGTGCATGATCAAATTCCTCACCTTCACACATCATTCCGACCATTGGCCCTATGTTTTGGGAGGGCAACAGATTGTTCATCACATCAGGAGTTTCTTCATCCTGAAAGACAATTCTTTCAGCTTAAATCAAATCATCAACTACCTTTTTGAGGGTCCAACAGTCCTCAGTACTGTGTCCCACTGCTCTAAAGTGGTATTCACATATGGCATCAGCTCGGTGTGAGGAGGACTCGGGATTTGGCCGGTTTGGGGCCACTAGCTGCAATAGATTTAGCATGATTAGCTTTTGGAACAAGCTTGAATATGATTCACCAATAGGGGTGAACTGATTCTTTCTGAAAGGTTCTCTTGGGCGAAGATTGTACTGGGGAGAATTTCGTTAGGTATTATATGGACACTACTAGAAATAAGGCCTATGGCAACCGTTCTAAAACCGCTGCAGTAAATACACTAACCGACCCTATAGAGCTACTAGGACGATTCAGCACTCGTTCCCGAATTCGGTGTTACCATAGGTCTATTAGAATGGTTATGTGGAACGGTTATAAAACCGTCCCCATATATAGATATTGTAACGGTAATGAACCCGTTACATCAATCTGTGGAACAGTTTTTATTCTATTGGGACGATTATAAACCGTTCTGGTATATTTGTGCCAACGATATTATAAGGCTATCGCAACGGGTTTTATAATAATATATTGTAACGGTTTTCTTGATCTATTGCAACAATTATCTATAGTATATTGCAACAGTTATTAGGGGCTGGGCTGCAATTATTGTTTGCTAGGTCTATTGNATATATATATATACCTCCAGAATAAGGAATATTTCACATGCAACAAAATTTTATACACCATAACTAATATAAACTACAAAATAACACTGAAATATCAAACTAGCATTATCTATATACAAAAACAAAGTATGAATACATTGTTTGATCAACAATTCTAAGTTGAAATAGATGAGTTTGCATAAAAAAGTTCTAAACTAAAATATTCTGGAACATAATGAGAAAGTCTAGCAACGATCAACAACACTCAAGTAAGGTATTCATCACTACTTTCATCTGCAATCGCTGCACCTACAAATGATGATCCGTAAATGATTAAACAAATAAAATTTTAAGATATTTGAATCACAAAGCAATTGATTCGTTATCAAAGCTTTACCTAACAAAGTTGAACCCTATTTACTGTCACAATTCCTTAAAACAACAAGCTAAAATACAAGCAACCCATTTGGAGAGTAAAGAGGCTAACAACAGATGAATACTTGTAATAAATTATAAGGTCATTGTATATAAGTTGTCTCTGTATATGTTATTAATTCAGCAGCTAGAGTACTATATGTTACCTTTCAGAATATTTCTCTTGTTGATCAGATGCCTAAAGCTATTATTCATTTTCAACAAGAGTACTATATGTTTATCCATTTTCAACAAGCAACTAGAGTATCATAGAAAGATATGGTATATCCATTTCAACAGCAAGCAGATGCCTAAACATTTTCTGTCGAAAACATTCTATATGCTATCAAACAGAAAGATATATGATTTTGTAGTCAAAGTCAGATTTTGTAGATTTGAAATTTTGGAATTTAGCTAAAACGGAAGTGCGGAATTATGGGTGAAGAAAGGCTACATTGCTTACTCCTAGTAACAATACTGTAGCATGTAAAATGGGTGAAGATCAGACGATAAATGAGATAAAAGAGTTCCAAATATGTGTATTATTCATCATTAAAAAGAAACAATGCTTTCATATCTGGTTTCTTGTAAGTTTAAGCACTGTACATCATGTTCCTCTAACCTTATGAACAACTAAGAGATTCGTTCTAGGAGAAGGAAGACTAGTTAAAGTAACAAGCCTCCCAGGTGAAGTACTTCCTAGACAACTGCCTATTGGAGAGTAGATCCAAAAGCCGCCCTTGCCACGATGTGCTCAGTGTGAAGCGTGCGCTTTTTTCATCTGAAGCGCAATTTAATACATTAAGCAAGTGTTTCAATTCTTAAATTAAGAAGTAAATAATAGAATGTATTTGCAAATCTCAAGGCTTTCTTCAATTTCTCTTCATCCTACACAAGCACAGTGAATCACAATTACTCTCTTAGTTACTCTCTTATCTGCCTCTCTCTATTCCTTGTTTTCTCATTTCTATTCTCTCCTTGATTCACCCTTTCCAGAGCAAGGTACTTTTTTATGCACTTTAATTTTCTTTCATTGTCACGTACAAACCTATGGCAACACTACATCTCTGTATTATATACCTTATATCTTATAGCTTATAATTAAGCATCTTTCGTTGATTTTAATTTACAACTGTATATTTTTATATTATGGATCTCAGCTGTAATGTTATTACATCTTTTCCTAATTTGGTTTTGCTAGGTTTAGTTTGGAAAACAATGCGCTTGTTTGAATTTTTTTTCCAGAAGAGTTGGCTTTAAAAGCAGTTGAAAACAGAAAAAGTATTAGTAATAGGTTAAGGCTGAATAAATAACTCTTTTGACCAGCCTCATAATTAACTACTGCCATCATCTTGAGGTCAACAGTTTACTTTATTAATAATTTCTATATGAATATTAGACAAAAATACAATCAAGAAAGTGGATGAGTGATGTGCTTAAAGATATAGCACAGATAGTTAAGCCATCTATTGCTACTGCTGGGGGTGCAAATTTGCAATATCATTTTTTTTAAATAACTTTTTAATTACTACCTTGATATTCTTTCCACCATTCTAAATGAATCAAATCAGAAACACCGTCTCACACAGACTAGATAGTCAATAATCCTCAAAAGTCGCAACATATTAAGCAAATGCAAAACCAAATTACAAAAGGAGCAACATCCTATTCTTCAACAACTAAAAAAAAAAGAACTGTGACAATAGGGCAGAACAGTGAACAGCAGAAAAATAGAGCAGAAGCATAGTGAAAAGCAGAAATTCTAAAAAAACAATAGAGCAGAACCCTAAAAGATAAACAAGGCAAGATAGAAAAGAAGAACTAGCAAAAATAGAAAGGAAAGAGAAAAGATGAGAGGAGTCAAACAGTAGCAGAGAATATCAGAAGAGGAAGAGAAGAGAAACTTACCTGCTTCAGGGCAGAAAAGTGTAGACCCCTCGCCTCGCCTCGCTTCTGCGCCTTAAGCGAGAAGCGCTCGCTTTTAATAACACTGCTTTAAACATGAGACTCTTAGGAGCTTTCAGGATTAATATAGTATTCAAGAAGCATAAATATTTAAATCAACTACTCTACATACGACTACCACATAAGAAACTAAGAAATGGCATCGAACGCTACTACTTTACACATAACTAACGCATAGGAAGCTAAAAAAAGTATCAACGAGAAACTAACCAATTTGCAAAGCTCCGAATTAATAAGAAAACCATAAATCCAAATACCGATAAACGAACAGAGCTTGGGCAGCTGTAAATAAGCCAAACAAACTTCAGAATACTCAATGATAAAAAATTTGAACGATAGCAACAAGAAACCAATACTCGAATATTCACGTACCATGATCGCAAGAACCTCTAAAGATTCTAAGCAATATACTCGTATCGAGTGAAATAAAAGAAACCAAACGTTGTCTTAGCTTACAGCTAGCAAAGCAGTAGCTGAAAAGCAGTGAATATGGTATATCCTAGTAATATTACAATAGTGATGAAGAGCAGTGGTCAAAAAGCCATCCCCATTGCCTTAACAGTAGTAGTATTTATAGCTAAATTTGCTAAAAATTAGTATTTTATAGAACCAATTGGCAGAAATTGGAGGCCACAACTTTTGAGAAGTAAATGGAGAAAGAAAGGAAAGAATGATTTCTTAAACCCTGTTGCTTGGACTATCATGCAAGAGTTTCAACCATTTGACAGATAAGGTGGTGAAAACTTAATTAATTAATTAACCATAAAGTATAGCATTTCTGTGCACATTCATGGGTTAGACCATAAGTCTTTCTTTGAACTAAACCAACCGTAATTCTTCAAATGCATAAATTAGAAAACCATGTAAACAATATCAACCATCTTTCCTATCCTTGATTAACATATATAGAATCCAATATTCACCTCCACAAAGTGATGGTCACATGCACTAAAAAGTATACTGCTACTCTACATCATAGAAGTTTTGATTCCTCATAAACAATTCATGACAAAAGAATAAATGAAGATCTACTTCGAGGTATTTCCTTGTAACATAAATAACAAAGAAAACCATTGCCTTATTAAAAATTGGCAAACTCAGAAGAAAGGCTGAAACATTTCTAGGGAAAAATTGGCAAACTCCAAAGTATACTCCACGAGCCATTGCATCAATAGCATTTGTCAACAAAATTTACTCCATGCATTCCCACGTATAATACAGAATAATGATTTTCAGAATAACGAACAAGACAGCGAACATCGACCATCGATAGGAAACATCGTACAAGGGGAAATTCTCATGGTTTCTAACACAAAATCAAAACCTAACAAATAAGTCCCCCAATTTCGAAAACAAAAAATTAGAAAATATATCGTATAATAGAAACAAAACAGAAGCAAAATAATGGGTTTATCAGAAATATTATCAAAGAAAGAAAATAGAAGGAGCAATGAAATAATTTTTCAGACCAGGGAAGAACAAAGCGAAAATCGAACAGTGATAGCAAACATCGAACAGGGTAAAACACCGATAGCCTACCTCGGAGATTGCCGTATGTTAGCCGATAATGGTCATCCTTCACCGGAAGTTATCGTCCTTCACTGGAGCTGGTCGACAGAGTTTGTCGGTGTGTTCTAGGTTGATGAATAGAGAGAGAGGTATTTGAGATTTTGGGGGAGTCGCTAGCTGAAGTCGATGTGTTCTAGGTTGTTTTTATATTTTAAAGTTATTAAAATATTAGTTGGGTCCTCTATTTTTGTCTTTTAATAAATACCCATGAGGGAAAGTAAGGAGGGAAAACTAAACCGTCCCGATAGCCTTTTATTTCATAAAATCGTTCCCACAAATAACCCTATCGTATCACATTTCAAAACCGTTTCCATATCTTTATTTATGGTGACGGTTATTACACTATTGGAACAGTTATTTTTCAAAAGTGTGCCAGAAGCCTTTTGACTCTATTGGAACGGTTAAAACCATTCCAAAATATGATCTACTGTAACAGTTACAGAACCGTTGCCCAAAAACCGTTGCAATAAATTCGTTTTCTAGTAGTGGGAACTTGGCAAGGATGGGCATTTCTGGGAGGTGGGGCTCGATTTTGTGGATAATGTTTTGGCCGCGGGTTACTTTGCACGTTCATCACCGCATAGGGAGGCGGTGTCACGGCATAAGCAGCATCTTGAAATGGATAATAGTGTTAAGGGACCTCAGGAAGCATATATGATTGGCTGAATGACCTGCGGGCCCCCCTCGAGCTGGAAACCATCATGGCTCCCTCTTCACTCCTATTTCTGTTTATCAAACCCTTCGAACCATTCCGAGCAGATTGTGATGTTGCCTTAAAAGCAGTATGACTCAAGATTCGACCTGTTTTTAAACTGTTTTCAACCATTTCCGCATTTTTGAGAGCCTCAGCGAACGACTTACCCACATCAGACATCATGTCGTGGAAGTAGTCAGCCTCTTGGGCCTACAAAAAGACTGTGACCATTTCAATTTCGTCCATTCGAGGCTTTACCCGGGTAGCTTGCTCACGCCATTTGACAGCATATTCACGGAAGCTTTTCGAAGATTTCTTTTTGATGTTTGACAAAGAATTTCTGTCCGGAGCTATGTCCACATTGTACTGGAACTGTCTAATAAAAATCCGGGCCAGGTCATCCCATATGTGCCAATCGGAGATGTCTTGGTCGATATACCACTCTGATGCAATTCCGGTTAAGCTCTCTCCAAAATAGGCCATCAAAAGTTTTTCTTTTCCGCATGCCCTCTTAGCTGGTTGCAATATCTTTTCAAATGGGCGATCGGATCTCCATGCCCGTCATATCTTTCAAATTTTGGCATCTTGAAGCCGATTGACAAGTGGATATGGGGAAACATACTGAGGTCAGAGTATGAGACACTCTTTTGACCACTTAGACCTTGCATGTTTTTCAAGCTTTGTTCCGGGCTCTTCATATTCCGAGCCATTCCTCTTGCTCAGGATTTTTAACAACCCTTTCTTGATCCACCGAGAGGTCATATTGTGGAGGTTGAGTGAACGAGCATGGGGTCACATATATTATTTCAGGTTGAAGCTGTGGACCCTGAAGGCATGCCAAGAACATTGGACAACATTGGAGGGTGCCCACATGGGATGAGCGGGTTGGGCACAGGGGCATTGGTAACTTCACCTGACCTAGGGATCAACTTAGGGAACCCAGGGATTGCAGTTGGCAGTTCTCTTCCATTAGACTAGGCGTCCCGCATTTCCAATATGCGGAGATGCAACATCTTATTCTCTTCGGCAGATTCTAATTCTAACTACAGAATAGCCGATGATGGGCTATCCTCAGGACTGGTGATTGGTAGATTGCTTGCGAAGGACATCTGTGCCTTTGGATCTTGTGAAGGAGGGGATGCTAAACTACCAACAAAACCAACCACCGAAACCTGGCTATTTTGCACACGCAACAACCTTGTTAGTTTTGAGACGCTTAACAAATAGGAAATCGTATGTTTGGATGAAATGCACCTAAATAGTGAAACGTTTCTACCATGTGTTTGAATTGTTGCACGTTTCATCCCGACTTTAACTAACTCTCTCAGTATGTACCTGTGACGACCCGGCTAGTCGTCTCATGAATTATCGCTCTTTTCCCCCCATTTTTTACTTTATTATACTTCGTTATCTGTGTTTTATGCGAGCGAGTTGGGTAGTTTGCATTCGGAGTGGATTTGGTAAGAAATGAGACACTTAGTTTCTTTTAAGAGAGTTTAAGTTGAAAAAGTCAACCGGGTGTTGACTTATTTGTTAGATGGCTTGAATGTGAATTCTGATGGTTCGGTTAGCTTCGGGAGATTATTCATGACTTAGGAGTGTGATCAGAATTGGTTTTGGAGGTCCGGTGTAGAATTAGGCTTGAATTGGTGAAGTTAGTATTTTGGCGATTTCCGGTTGATAGGAGAGATTTTGATCCAAGGGTCAAAATGAAATTCCGAGAGTTGTTGTAGCTTCGTTATGTCATTTGTGATGTGCGTGCAAAATTTCAGGTTATTCGGACGTGGTTTGGTTGGGTTTTTGATCGAAAGCGTATTTCGGAAGTTTTTAGAAAACTTAGGCTTGAATTCAATGTGAATTGATGGATTTGGTATTATTTGAGGTGTTTTTATGATTGGAATAAGTTTGAATGAGGTTTTAGGATGTGTTTGTGCCTTTGGTTGAGGTCTCGGGGCCTCGGGTGAGTTTCGGGTGGTCAATCGGACCATTTTGGAGTTTGGGAAATTGCAGAAATGCAGGTTCAGTGTTGCAGAGATTTATCTCTTCGCGTTCGCGAGGGGGTCCTCCCGTTCCCAAAGAAGGAATTGTAGAAGGCCAGGGTTAAGCCTTCACGTGCGCGAGTGGAGCTTCGCGTTCGCGAGTGGAGCTTCGCATTCGCGGAGGGTTGGCAGGTTGAGTATCGCGTTCGCGAGAGGGTACTCGAGATCGCGTAGTGTAATTTGTGATCAAGGCCTTTTTTGTTCATCCCGTTCGCGTAAGGGGTTCGCATTCGCGAAGGTATAGGAGGAAGAAGCATCGCGTTCATAATGGGTGAGTCGCGTTTGAAAAGAGGAAAAGTTGGTCAACACAATGTTGTGCTTCGCAAACGCGAGAGGTTGACCGCGTTCGTGAAGAAGGAATATCAGAACTGGGCAGAAAGTTTATAAGTTATTTCATCCGCGATTTTGAGAGCTTTTTGAGGGTGATTAAAGAAGGATTCAAGGAGAATTGATTGGAGGTAAGATTTTTGAACCTAAAACGTGATTCTATTGTGAAATAAACCTAGAAATTCATGGAACTTAAGCTAAAGATGGAAGAACTAGGGCTTGGGATTTTGAACTTTTATATTGGGATTTGAAGGACCATTTGAGGTCGGATTTGAGAACTTTTGATATGTATGAACTCATGGGGTGATAAGGAATCTAATGATGTGAAATTTTTGAGTTTCGAGAAGTGGGCCCGGGGCTCGGGTTTGGCTAATTTCGAGATTTTTGATATTATTTTCGATTGTTTTCGCTTGGGCTTTGTTCCCTTAGCATATTGTGATGTATTCTTTCTAATTTTGGATAGATTCGACGCACGTGGAGGCCAATTTGAGAGGTAAAGGTGTCGCGAGCTAGATATTTCGCCGGTTCGAGGTGAGTAATGATTGTAAATGATGTCCTGAGGGTTTGAAACCCTGGATTTGCACATCGTAGTGCTATATTGAGGTGAGACACACGTTTGATGATGAGCGTGGAGTCTTTTACTATTGGGGATTGTGACTTGGTCCGTCCCAACTGATGATTTTACCGCGTATTTGACTGAAACTTATTTGTTATCATCATGGTTTGGGCTGATTGCCATATTTGGGCTTCGTGCCAATTATTTGAGCCCTCCGGGGATTTTTATCACTATTTCCTCACTGTATTGATTTATCACTTGAACTCAATCCTATTGATATTTACTGTTTTACAAACTCAGCCACTTTTACTCATATTTGAAACTTAAATGATATTTCTAAAAGATGTTTTGGGCTGAGAACTACTGTTTTGCTAATGCTCGAGGGGCTTGTGATGATCTTTGGACTGAGTGAGGCCAAGGGCCATATGTGAGGATATGCTGAGCGATATGAGGTCGAGGGCCTGAGATACTTTTATACGCCACGAGGTGGCTTGAGTTACGTGAGGCCGAGTGCCGAGTGATGTGAGACCAAGTGCCGAGAGATGATTCCATGAGGTGGCTTGATATAGCGCTTGGGCCGTAAGGGGCCCCTCCGGAGTCTGCACACCCACAGTGAGCGCGGGTACCCATCTTGATCTGAGATTGAGCCCGAGGGGCTGATACTATACTGAGAGTGAGCCCGAGGGGCTGATACTGTTCTGAGCGATTGTTACTGTGCCCGAGAGGTGGATTTCTACTTGTTATTTATCTGTTAAATTACCTGTTTTACTTGTTTTAAAGGGATTTCATTTGATTTCTTCTCCGATTTACTGCTTTAAGTGATTTTACTACTTTGATATAGAATTGCATTATGCCTTTAGGTGTTTTCATGCTTTCAACCATTATTTATGATTATTACTCATTGGGTCAGAGTACTCATATTACTCCCTGCACCGTGTGTGCAGATTCAGGCATCGCAGAGTCCGCTTCTAAGTAATGATCCTTCCAGACCAGGCAGTGACTTGGAGACTACGATGTAGCTGTTGGCATTTGCAGCCCCCATGCCTCCCTTATTTTATCATTTCATGCTTCTAGAGCTATTGTATTAAACTCAGTGTTCAGTAGACTTGTATCCAGATTTCGTAGTTGCTCATGACTTGTGACACCCCGGTTTGGGCTGTGTCAGGATGGTTTCTACTATTGTTATCGTTAAATTCTGCAATTTATGGATATTATATCATGTTTTATTAATGTTTATGATAATTAATTGTTTAAAAGAGGTGTTCCGTTTTGGTATGGCTAGCCTTGTCTTCACGAGAGGCGCCATAACGACCGGGTTCGAGGTTAGGGTCGTGACAAGTTGGTATCAGAGCCTAGGTTACTTAGGTCTCATGAGTCATGAGCGGGTTTAGTAGAGTCTCGCAGATCGGTACGGAGACGTCTGTATTTATCCACAAGAGGCTGCAGAACCTTTTTAGGAAAAAACTTCACATTCTTGAAATTCTTGTCGTGCGACATTGTTGATCCGAGAATTAAACTT